CCTGCGCGTCTGGAGCCTGTGCTCCACAATGGGAGAGGCCACAACAGTGAGAGGCTCACGTATAGAAAAAAAAAAAAAAAAAAAAATAGTGACTGTTCATAATGAAAGCAGTAACCAACTGTTCTAGAAATAATAATAAAAATTCATTGCTACAAGTATGAAGTGCTCATAATTTGAAAGGGGACCAGTGAATTAAGCTGAACCATCAAGTCCATGCCAACATATTTAAGAAAGAAAGCAGTTTCTTCTAATACTACTTAAACTCTAAGTATGGTTTTGAACAGTTACACATTCTAAGTAGGGTAAATTAGTTGGGAAAAAAGAACTATAAGTATATAAAATGTAAAATAGAAGGCTTCACATTACTATAAATATTTCTCCTCAGAGAAGATACATGATTTTTCAAAAATCACAAATTTGAAGCAGGACTTAGTTCTGACTTCAATTATAGCCTGGCACCGGCAACTTATGCCCCTCCTTTGCTTCAAAAAAAGTATAAGAAAGAGTGATGAGATCAACCTTCACCATTCTTGGATCTTCAGCAAATTCAGGATCAATGTAGAAAAATACCGGCATATCTACTTCCTCTTGTGGATTAAGCCTTTGTTCTTCAAAACAGAAGCACTAGAAGTTATAGAAAGGTATTCATTAATTAATATTTCTATCCTATTACCTATAATAGAAACTAATGCTTCATTTATTGGCTTTAATAAGCATACTGTTAATTATAATCTTTAAATTCTGTGACAGAATAACAGCATCTTTTATCTCAGATTGAGTTTTGCTTTAAGGATTGAGAATCAGCAAATTCTTCTAATCTTAAAAAAGCAGATATCTATATGGTTTGACTCTCAACCTCTGCATAGCTATTATAAGCAATGAAAAATAAAGTTTGAAGTTTAGAAGAAATGAACTTTAAAAAAACTAGTACCTACTAAAAAAACACAAATAGATTTAGTATCAAACAATTTCATGTAACTTTATCACATTCTGTAATGTCTGCATTTAGTTATACCTGTATTTTATTGAAATACTGTCCAGCTTCAAATGGTACAACATTGTATGTAGAAATTCCAATTACTGGTTTGTCAGTAGGATTCTTAGCTTTATAAAACGCCAGTGCAGTCTCCCCTGGCACTACCTGTTTTAAGGAAAATATACATTATCCTTAAATCTCACATGGCTCCTTCTTTCCCTCCTAAATTAGTCATTATTATCATTTCAGACCATAATACCTCATTTAAACTAATGTTAAGGGTCAGCAAAATACCCAAGAACATTTGATTTTCAAATGTTACTTGCATATGTCAGTGGAGAACCAATGTTCTCTTACGCATACTTAGATATGGCTTGTCCTCTTGTATGTATGAAGTCTTCGAGCAATAATCTGCAGATAAAGTTATTTAAAATGTATGCAACAAAGGAGGCAAGAAAATACAATGGAGAAAAGACAGCCTATTCAATAAGTGGTGCTAGGAAAACAGGACAGCTACATGTAAAACAATGAAATTAGAACACTACCTAACACCATACACAAAAATAAAATGGATTAAAGAACTAAATGTAAGGCCAGACACTATAAAACTCATAGAGGGGAACATAGGCAAAACATTCTATGACGTAAATCACAGCAAGATCCTTTTTGATCCACCTCCTAGAGAAATGGAAATAAAAACAAAAATAAACAAATGAGACCTAATGAAACTTAAAAGCTTTTGCACAGCAAAGGAAAACATAAACAAGATGAAAAGACAACCCTCAGAATGGGAGAACATATTTGCAAATGAAGCAACTGACAAAGGATTAAGCTCCAAAATACACAAGCAGCTCATGCAGCTCAATATCAAAAAAACAAACAACCCAATCCAAAAATGGGTGGAAGACCTAAATAGCCATTTCTCCAAAGAAGACATACAGATTGCCAACAAACACATGAAAGAACGCTCAACATCATTAATCATTAGAGAAATGCAAATCAAAACCACAATGAGGTATCACATCACACTGGTCAGAATGGCCATCATCAAAAAATATAGAAACAATAAATGCTGGAGAGGGTGTGGAGAAAAGGGAACCCTCCTGCACTGCTGGTAGGAATGTAAATTGATATAGCCACTGTGGAGAACAGTATGGAGGTTCCTTAAAAAACTAAAAATAGAACTACCATATGATCCAGCAATCCCACGACTGGGCATATACCCTGAGAAAACCGTAATTGAAAAAGAGTCATAGGGCTTCCCTGGTGGTGCAGTGGTTGAGAGTCTGCCTGCCGATGCAGGGGACACGGGTTCGTACCCCGGTCCGGGAGGATCCCACATGCCGCGGAGCGGCTGGGCCCGTGAGCCATGGCCGCTGAGCCTGCGCATCCGGAGCCTGTGCTCCGCGACGGGAGAGGCCACAGCAGTGAGAGGCCCGCGTACCGCAAAAAAAAAAAAAAAGTCATGAGCCACAATATTCATTGCAACACTATTTACAATAGCCAGGACATGGAAGCAATCTAAGTGTCCATCGACAGATGAATGGATAAAGATGTGGCATATATATACAATAGAATATTGCTGCATAAAAAGAAACAAAATTGAGTTATTTGTATTGAGGTGTATGGACCTAGAGTCTGTCATACAGAGTGAAGTAAGTCAGAAAGAGAAAACCAAATACCGTATGCTAACATATATAGAATGTAAAAAAAAAAAATGGTTCTGAAGAACCTAGGGGCAGGACAGGAATAAAGACGCAGACACAGAGAATGGACTTAGGGACACGCGGAGGGGGAAGGGTAAGCTGGGACGAAATGAGAGAGCAGCACTGACATATATACACTACTAAATACAAAATAGATAGCTAGTGGGAAGCTGCTGCATAGCACAGGGAGATCAGCTCCATGCTTTGTGATGACTTAGAGGGGTGGGATAGGGAGGGTGGGAGGGAGGCTCAAAATGGAGGGGATATATATATATATACATATAGCTGATTCACTTTGTTGTACAGCAGAAACTAACACAACATTGTAAAGCAATTATACTTCAATAAAGATGTAAGAAAATAAAATGTGTCCAAGAACAAGCCAAGCCTAACTTCTTAACACTTATCCCTGAATATTATATAATTGACTAAAGATTCTTTTTAAAAAAGGTTACCAACCTTAAACTTAGTTTACAACCAGAGTAAATTAAATGTAAACCAGAGTAAAACTAACTGAATAGAACTTTTATTTAACCAAAAAGCACTAATAGTTTTTTTTTCTTGAGAGAAAATAACGGATAAAATAAATTGCAAGGCTTTAAAGAAGTCAGCGTAAAATGAGACATAATTAAAAAAAAAAAAGAAATCAACGTCCAAAGGATGCTCTGTGGCATGTACCAATTTAGCAACTAACACCACTGTATACTACTGTGTGATTGCAACTAATATTCAGAACCATAATCTAGGGCTTCCCTGGTGGCGCAGTTGTTAAGAATCCGCCTGCCAATGCAGGGGACATGGGTTCAAGCTCTGGTTCGGGAAGATCCCACATGCTGCGGAGCAACTAAGCCAGCGTGCCACAACTACTGAAGCCTGCGCACCTAGAGCCCATGCTCCGCAACAAGAGAAGCCACCACAATGAGAAGCCCGCGCACCGCAATGAAGAGTAGCCCCCGCTCGCCACAATTAGAGAAAGCCCGCATGCAGCAATGAAGACCCAACGCAGCCAAAAATAAATTAATTAAAAAAAAAAACAGAAAGAACCATAACCTATAACACCCTCAAATCACTGAAGAGATTCAATGACACTTACTAACCTGGGGAAGCACTAATATTAATAGGGTTTTCCAGTAAGAGTTACAATTAAGCTTTTCTGGCTATTCAGTTCATGAGATAATTTCAGTTAAATCCTCTAATCACAATTTTAGGAAACTTTTAAGGTGTATAATCTTTCTGAAATAGAACATGACTATTTAGCATGATTACTTCAAAGATCCTTAAATTTTTTTTTTAAGGGACAGGGATACTTCTGATGTAAATCAGTAAACTACTTTCCATCGTAACCAATGATTTTCAACATTTTTCTTGTATCATCTATACCTGAGGTAAAGTCAACTATAAAGCATGACAGCTGCTCCTACTGTCAAGATTAGTGACCAGAAAACTTCTTAGTGAATTCTTAATATGATTCTAATAAAAACATGACATTTTCCATAGTTCCAAAGTGACTTTTATTACAATGCCATGTAACTTAAAAGTTAAAAGTATATCCTGTTACATTAGGTCAGAATATAGGGCACTGTCAAAAAAGTAGTCTGCAGGAATAAAAGGATTACAGTAATGGAATCTGTCAGTATTCTGAAATTAAGTTTAGATGAATGTTTCCTAAATTGTGAAACAGTAAGCGATGAAAGAAAGGATTTTTACATTGAAAAAAGCAATCTTTTAAAAACTGCTTTAATCACTTACATATATTTCTGTTTGCTGAGGTCTAAAGTTCCACTGGAGACTTGCATGAACATCTGCATTAAAGGTGACTTTAATGATGCGATCCTTAACAGGTACCATGTTTTCAATCTGGTCTGATGCACGACCTGCTACTGCCGATCCTCCAAGTCCAGTAGTCTAGGAAAAGACAACAAGGTACAATATAATATGCTAAACAACAATACAGTAGTTTTAGGTGCTGATGACCTATTTATTGGATGAAACAGAATTTTAAAAACTATTTAACTTTAATAATCCAGTAGCAGCAAGGTTTATATACTATCACTGGCCGTTTCCTATGAACGTGCCAATGGTTTGACCACTTTTTGGGTGTCAAGGGCCTATACTCGTTAGTCATATTATTTAGTAATCACTTGGCTATATGGCATGGTCAAAAATGAATCATTTGAAAGAGAGCAGACTCTCCACTGATAATAGAGCTCAGAATTTTTAGCTGAACTTTTCATTAAACATATATCCCCTTATTGTTAATATTTCATATCAACTATTATTATTAGAAATAAAATTTACCCACAACGCTGTCATTTCAATAAACTATTTAAATAATTCCATTTTTCCACATCCCTGTCTGGTCCTTTTTCATATCATAACTTTCAGAGCACAGATTAGTTTGTAGCTTCACTTCTATAGTCTGCTTTCCTCAAGCATCATAAGTATTTTTCCATGTTGGTAAATATTTTTGGAAATTTTTTTCTGTATTTTTTTGTATAGTACAGCTTATATATATATATATATAAACAGTTAATCAGAGAACCTGATCTCTTTGGCCACTGAATCAACTAATCATAAGGCATCAGGATAACCTGTGATACTTCTTGTCTATCTTCATTGCCATTAATTATTTCCTTATCAGAGAAGCTTAAAAAAAATCATTCTTCTGATGCTTGAGGTTGCCAGAATTCTGGTCTCCGGATAATTAACCTGTTACTATACTAGGAAAAATATACCAAATTTGAGGCTAGGGAAGACTCCCAGCAAAATATAGTATTACCATCTTAGCCTGTTACACAAATCAAGCAGCTTCACTCAGCTGCCATGCAATATAAAGTTACATTATAACCCTACAAGATACATCAGAGGGCAAGCCTTTATTTACTCTTGCTTAATAGACAAGTATATACTTCTCTTCAAGAGGGCTAAGTTTTAAGATGTTTTCCTGAAGAACTTGAGTCACTTAAATAAAGATTCCTGAATGTTTTCTTTCTGACAGGCTGTCTTTGAATACAGATTCTTCAAATTAGTAAATGTGATGCTTTGAGAAATTAAACAATAGAAAAACGCACTGAAAAGAAAATGTCCTGCGCTCCAGTTTAGTTCTGTCACTAGCTCTAAAAACTCACTAAATCTTACTTTCTTTGGGCTACACTTTCAATACTCATAAGATGACCTCAGTGTATGAAGGGGTTTTTATGATTCCTAATTTTTTGGCTCTAAAGTTCCGTGGTTCCAAAAATAAAAGAGATGCTCTTTTGGAAACGTCACTACTAAACATCTAACTATGATTTAAGTTTAGGATTACAAATTACAATTGTTTTTACTTTCCTGCACTGCACTTTCACCCAGGTGCATGAAATATTGTCATTCACTTCAGTTTGGAGCAGGGTTTCTCAATCTTGGAACTAATGACATTTTGGAGAGGATAATTCTTTTTTTTTGTTTTTGTTTATTTGGTGGGGGTGGGGGAATGGATCTGCCCTCTGCAGTGTTGGATGTTTAGCAGCATCCCTTAGCCTCTACCCACTAGATACCAGTAGCACCCTCCCCCCCCTCACTTCCCAGGTTGTGACAACCTAAAATGTCTTCAGACATTGTTAAATATTGCCTGAAGAATAAAATCAACCACCCACCTTCCCCTGCCTACTCACCGGTAGTTTGGGGTGATCTACACTTGCTGTTTTAGATTCAGGTCTGCTTACGACTTAATCAACTGGTAGTTCTGGGATTCATGCTTGGTCCAGGCTGGCCTCTGATGAAAATTAATTCACATTCTACACTCATCCTCCAGAAATCAAGCTACTGCACTTTCCTACATATATGCTGATATTAAGAGACTGAAAAGTCCTTCAGATTTCTGCTGTTTCAGTCATTATCGAAAATAAAGGCAAAAGTTAATCTTCATAAGGACAGGAGAAGTAAGCCAGGCATTAACAATAGTGGCAGGAAAGAGCAGTTAACCAGTGACTCCCCAACTCTTCTGAGCATTGGAATCTTTAAAAAATTATTACTTCCTGACTCCCACTCCAAGACCTTCTGATTTAATTGGTTAGGGATGTGACCTGGGTGTCGGGATTTTGAAAAGCTCTCCAGGTAATTCCGATGTACAACAAAGTTTGGGAACCACTATCACTCACTCACTGAATGAACCCAATGTATAGCTCTCATTTATGATTTTAAAACTTAAATTCCTGACCCCTACCCATGTCTCCTAATCAGGATCTCTGGGGTACAGGAGCCCTGACATGTTTGTTTAAGAAGCCCCATGAGTGATCCTAATGCCCAGATAAAGCAGCAAACTACTGCCTAAGAACTTAGCAGTATATATATGAAACAGGTGAACTCTGCCTTTGCCCGCGGTTCTCAACCGTTAGCCTGCATCAAAATCTGCTAGGGAACTTATTAAATACAGACTGCTGGGCCCTGCCCCCAGAGTTTCTGATTCAACAGGTCTGCAGTCGGACTCAACAATCTGCGCTCAAGTTCCCCTCCCAGGTAATGATGCTGCTGCTAGTCCTGGGGTCTGCACTTTGAGAACCATTGCACTAGAGTTTCTGATCTAAAAGGGAGCCCTGGGTAAGGACATTACAGTTACATATTAACAAGGGGGAAAAGCCTCGAAGTCCTAATTCATGCTAGTTTGTATACATAAAAGGCTACTCCCAGTTTAACTACAAGTAGCAAGCACACTCCCATTTCCTGGGTTAACATTTGCACAGAACCCATGGTTTTTGTGGTTCACAGAATTAATGTATGAACATAAATTACATTTTAAAAGCGGGCCCGTGTGTGAACAGCAGGAGAGTAAGGCAGATCGCTGGATACCGTAGTACAGGTTGCAGACCTTTCCGGTGGTGTAGCTGAGATCGGGGAATTTCACTAGGCAGAGGAGTATAGGCACGATCACTATAAGAACTCGGGTTCTACCGGTAGCCTTGTCACCTTCTTGGTGACCCTGGGCAAGTAAGTCACTTTCTAAGGCCTGTTTCCTTAGAAAGCGATTTTCTTTGGTAGATAATCTCGGACATCTCTCCAACACGGCACAGTGGAGCATCGCTGTCTAGGGAACTGCCCGCACCCCCGCCCCTCCAGACGGGCCGCCCAACGGGCAGCGCCAGCCCTACCTGGCAGTAGAGCCGGTAAAGGGGCACGGCGGCGTAGGACGCCCCCAGCATGCCCACGGCCGCCGCGGCCACATACGTGAGGACGGTCTTGTTCCGCCGCCGCCAATCCTCCTCCTGTGCGCGCGTGAAGGGGTTTGTGCTCTTCGGCCGCCGCGGCGGCTGCACCGCCAAGCTCGGGCGCCTCCATGTCCCGAGCCGTCTCAGCTCCCTCTCAGCAGCCCCTGTCCCGCTCCTCCCCGACCTAAGACAAGACTCTACCCTCTCCGCAGCCCTGGTCGGGTTTCCAGGGTGGTTCCAGGGCCACCCGCAGAAAGCCACGCGCGGCCATCGCGTAACCCAGAGCCCTCCCATTGCACCCGGAAAGAACGCCCGCCTGTCAGAGGCCAGATCTCGCGAGGTCTGCTCTGTCTCGCGATCTCTGGGTTGAGCCAGCCGCTGCCTTGGCTACGGGGCTCCTCAGGTGGCGGCGTCTGCAGTGAGGCTACGGAGGCCGGGTTGCCGGGTAAGTTCTCGTTTTGCTTCTTGGCTGTTCCTCCCACTTTGCTTCCCTCCAGTAGCTATTTAAGTTACTTTTAGGAAAACGACTTGCGTTCTTCCGCGTGCTAGCCATCATCACGTGGGTTTGTGTCCCCGATCTTCCTAACCTCCAGCAGCCTTTGCCTAGACCCGGCGGACCCCAGCGGCCGCTGTCCCGCGCGGTCCTTTGACTGGGGTACTGTGGCCGCCGATCCGCTATTACTGCCCTGAACTCCGGAAGTCTTCCTGTTTTAACCACAGCCCACTCAAACACTTGAACATCTACATTTTCCCAGCCCCTGGGAATCGGCTTCTACTGCTCTGAAGTCCTTTAACCATTTGCCCAGTGAAAATTAACCAATTCTGGGGCGGGAGAGACGTTGTCAGACTGGATTTTTGAGAGGATAGTGACCAGGATCTGAGGATCATTTAGGAGGGATTGAAGGAAATGGGGATGTTCATCTTGGAAAAGAAACGCATGGGGGATGTAATAGCTTTCTTCAGTTGTGCCACAGGACAAACTAGGACCTGCGCGGGGCAGACGGCATAGGCAATTTTGCTGTAATGGAAGAAAGCATCTTTCAAGGAACTATAAAGTAGAGGTTAAGAGCTCAGATTCTGAGGTTACAGCAGGTCTGCATTCATACCCGGGTCCTCACTATGGCCGTGTGTCCTTAGGTTATTTGGTCTTTTTAAAACTTAACGGCCTTACTTGTAAAATACGAATCATAACAGTAAATGAGAATATGAATGTAAGTAATTTTCACAGTGTAAACATTTAGTAAACATTACTCTTTATTGCTAATGTCCAGAGCAGGTATAATTATCCCCACTTCATGGATGACGAAGCTGAAGTCCTGCGAAGTTAAATGACTTTGTCATTCAACATTTTATTTACTGTGCTCTCTTGTGGGCCAGACATTGTTCAACCTACTGGGCCTACAGCACAGAGAAAGTCAGAGATCAGTTCAGTTATGGAGTGTGTCCTTTCTACTGAGGGACTCAGGAGAAAAGCAAGTAACAGACACATAAATAAGGGAATTTCAGATAACAGTGCAGTGTGACTGAAAGTCAAGAGGAAGGGAGGTAGGGCTTCCCTAGTGGTGCAGTGGTTGAGAGTCCGCCTGCCGATGCAGGGGGCACGGGTTCGCGCCCCGGTCCGGGAGGATCCCACATGCCGCAGAGCAGCTGGGCCTGTGATGTGACATTTGAGCCTAGTCTTGAGTGATGATAAGGAGCAAACTACACAATGACAGTTCCAAGACCCCTAGGCAAGAAAGAGCTACTTACCACTGAAGAACAAAAAGGAGGCCATCTCTTCCTAGCCTTGTGAGCAGGGAGAAAAGTGATAGGAAATGGGTCAGCGCAGGTGTACTGGGGCCAGATAATACAGAGCCTTATAAGCCATGTTCAAGCGTTTGTATTTTATTCTAAAAATAATATGAAGCATACAAGTGATATCTGATTCACATTTTTTAAAAGATATTGGTTATGGTGTGGAAAAGGGAAGGGAGCAAAAAAGAAAATAGAACAGTTAGGAGGCAGTTGCAGTTGCTGTAGTGCAGGTGAGTGATGATGGTCACCTTGAGAGAGTAACTGATTAACTGTGGTCACAGGGCCAGAAAATTAGAAACCAAAAAAGAAAAAGAAAAAAAAGTATCTTCTGACTTTTCTTTTTTTTTTTTTTTTTGGTGTGTTAGTTTCTGCTTTATAACAAAGTGAATCAGTTATACGTATACATATATCCCCATATCTCCTCCCTCTTGCATCTCCCTGGCACCCTCCCTATCCCACCCCTCTAGGTGGACTCAGCACTGAGCTGATCTCCCTGTGCTGTGCGACTGCTTCACACTAGCTATCTATTTTACCTTTGGTAGTGTATACATGTCCATATATACACTACCACTCTCTCACTTTGTCCCAGCTTATCCTTCCCTCTCCCCGTGTCCTCATGACTTTTCTACTTTGACACGAAAATTTCAAGATTCTCTGATTCTACAGACTTATTCCTGTGTTATGAGAATGTTTGAAATTTTTTTTCATCTGTATCTACCTTAGTTCTTATACCAGATTGTCATCTCTTTCAGGACAAGACCTGTCATATTTTAAATTCCTTACAGCATAGACTCAAACCCTGTGCAAACATTAATGTCACTGAAACCAACAAAACATTCCCTTTGACTATTCTTTTTTTCCAGGCAACGCTTCCATGTAGCAAGAGGTAGCAGCATAAATATGTCACAGTGTCTCTGTTTTGTACTTTTATTTTGTTATGTAATTGCAAATGAAATCACTCTTTTCGAAGGTACAGTAATCTCGATAGCAATAGAGCAGTGTTGGCTGCAGTTCTTGTGAGTCTGAGTGTGCTTGTGATGTTGCATAAATCATTATGGTAACTAATGCTAAGTAATGGGTTCTACCATGAATGGAATGGGAGCAACTCAGGCAAGGCTAGTACAACCCTGTCCTGCAAGTAGAGATGTTGATTACAAACTTAAAACATCAGGGGCTGGACTGACGTTTCAGACTCAGCATCTTTTATTTGGAATATCATTTTTAGCAGTAAATAATTGAACCTTGTGAACCCTTTCTGGTTAGCTATGATCATGTTCAATTTTACATAGTAGGTAAAATACGTTGTTATTTTTCATACAAACCATTTTGGGGGATGGAGGTGAGTGAAATGGGTGCAGATGGGAAAAGAAGGAAAAATGGGAAAAAAACCTGATAGTCGCAATGTTTTCTTATCTGATTATTGGTTTTCAGGCTTTCTGACTTAAGGATTATAAAGACGTATTGTTTTTAAAATTTGGTTTGTGGGAGTTCCCTGGTGGTCCAGTGGTTAGGACTCAGTGCTTCTACTGCAGGTGTCATGGGTTCTATCCCCGATCTTGGAACTAAGATCTTGCAAGCTGCACAGTGTGGCCAAAAATTTAAAAAAATGGTTTATAATTCATTTTTTAGTATTTTTAATGCATAAGTTAAGGACATTGCAATATAAATCTTAATATGTTAGCCACTGTTAGCTGGCTGCCTAATAAAGCCATTTAGATCCATTTGGCAATTTGAAGTACCTAACAATTATTCCAACAGTACTAACAACTGTTTATTTGGTAGGTATTTATTGCAGTGCTTTCCTTCTACCTAAAAGAGGAAGGGTAATACATTTGAGTAAATAGTAAGAACAAATGAATTGTAGTTTGCCTGAGAATAGACTGGATAATCACTGTTTTCCAATTAGTACACAATAATGGCATGAAGTTGCTGCAGTAAGTCTTGATATCCTAGTTTTTTTATTTCCGTGTAGCTTCCTTTATTTTTTTTTTGATATGAAAACAAAAAAGTAATTGTTTATATTAAATTATCATCATGTAGAATCCACTTTAAAAATGTGGAAATATTTTCAGATTTAATTTTTATTGGAGTGTAGTTGATTTACAGTGTTGTGTTAGTTTCAGGTTTACAGCAAAGAGAATCTGTTATACATACGCATATACATATATCCACTCTTTTTTTGATTCTTTTCCCATATAGCCTGGCAGCTTCCTTTAAACCACATGTTTGAGAGGCTACTCCATTTAAAACATCTTGAATAAGTTTATGTGATTGGTGAAATGAAAACAAATTATTCATCAGTAGAAGGCATTTATTTTTTTCAAGTAACATTTATCAAGATCAGGGCCAGCTTCATCAGTATGTGACCTGTGCAGTCAGTCACACAGGCCTTGCTCACTTAGTTGGACCCTGTACTTGGTTTAATCCTCTGCTGTCACTTTCTTGAAATTGTTAATTTTTTTTTTTTTAACAAGGGGCTTCGCATTTTCATTTTGTACTGCCCCCTTCCCCCAATTGATTATATCCCAAATGAACTGACTGACATTCTGGCATAATTCAGGCTAGGGTATAGTCAGCCTACCTAGAATAAGCAGAAGTTAAAGATAAGAGATAAGGCAAAAGGCAAATTCAGATCTCCTGAGAACAGTCAGGTTGTACGAAATAAGATCAAGCAAAAATTCCTATTTCTTACATGACTCCTAAGACTCTAAGTACTCTAGACCCTGCCTACTTCTCTCTAACTTCATCTCCTCTCTCTCCCCATTCGTCATGCTCCAGTCACACTTTTTTTGTTCTGTAAACATCCCAAATTTTTTGCTGCCTTGAGATGTTCTCTGCCTGGAATACTTGGTACCTCAGTTTTTTTCCCTCAGTTTTTCTCCTGGCTGACCTATTATTTGGATCTTAGATGGAACTCTAGTACCCAGTCTAAATTAGCTCTCCTTTGTGCAGTCGCACATGATCATATCACCTTTCAGTATCTGAAATCTAGTTCATGTTGTTTCCGTTTTTGTTATTTTTCTCCCAGCGCTAGCATGTAGATGCCATGAAAGCAGAGGCCTTGGCTTTTTTGGCATAATATCATAAGCATTTAGCACAGTGCGTGCACATGATTGTACTGAGCCAGTGATTGGCAAGCAGAAGGCAGTCAGGTAGTCTAAGGAAACTTGTGAGAGCAGTGAGCTGTTGGTCTGATGAAGATCTTTCAAGATGCCCAGAAAAAAAAAAAAAAAAAAAAAAAAGCCCAGGACAGCCCCAAAAAAAAAAAAAAAAAAAAAAAGAAGCCCAGGACTCCTTCTTTGAAGCTTTGAAGCAGTTTTCCTTTGTTTCCCACTGGGTTGTGCTGTGGGTTACAAGCAGATGCTATTCTTCCACCTCCAAGACAAATGAGTAGCATTCCTGACCTGCTTAGATTCTTGAAAATCTAAGAAAAAAATGTACCACCGGGGGAAATATTGCCTTTGGGTACAGAATCAAGGAGATAGTAAAATAACCCTATG